TGAGCCGTTTATTTTGAAAGTGGCATAAGTCACTTCACCGTAATGAAAAGTGGTGATTTTTTAATGTTTATGCGAAATTATTTATACTGAGAAAAATATCAGTATCCTGAGATAACAAATACAAGTAAATCTTCTCGAAAGTTAGCATCCATATTTTTAAACATGTTAAAACGCAAACCCTTAAATATATCGATTTAAAAACAAAGTGACTTATGCCACATTCAAAATAAACGGCTCATATGTACTGGTTCAATGTCTCCGATAGAGAAAATATTATTTTCATATTAGTTAAGCGATTTTCGGAATCTCCACCATTTCCGCATTACAAGGCAAAGTTTCCTGTGGCAAATAAAAATTGTTCGCGAAATATAGTACAATTTCAAGGCAAGGAAACGGGAGTGACAAAGTTAGAGGTCGAGGTTCGCTACAAAAGGCACCCAATACAGTATATTTAGCAAGTAATAAAATACATCGGTGTTAGACACAGTACAATACTGAAATAATCATGTTATCAATGTAAATATATGTGTATTTATATACATTTCGTTAGAATGATGCGGATACTTATCGTCTACGGACTAAAATGATCTACTTAAAAAAATATTAATAAATATCTACGAGCGTGTAACGTTTAAGTGACTATCGGTGTATCTTAAGGTACCGGGTGTTATTATCGTCATTGAGAAAGACATCCCTGGTTCGCGAAGCGGTACCAATTTGTGATCAGTGATCACTGATTACCAAAAAGTGAAATCCGCTCGTAAAATAGAAATGTTCCTCTTTACTTTCGTTCCCTGTTTGGTCTCGCTTCCGAAGGAACGGGATGCCCAGCCGGATGCACCGATTTCATTTATGGCATGATTCCGATTTCCGTCGATCTCGTTCGAAAACAATCTTTTCGACTCGTTAAAACACGATCCACCGGATTCCATAGAGAAAAAAAAAAGAGTAGAAAATACATAACTAAATCACGACTCGTCGAGAGAACAAAAGACATAGATACAGAGAAGGAGAAACAGAGATAAAGAGAGAGAGAGAGAGAGAGGGAGAGAGAAACGAGGAATGAGAACTAAAATTAGGGATGCATCGGACTGCGCCGGGCGTGAAAAATCTTTGCAATGATCCGCTACGGGCTACAAACTACGGTGATCTAAATACCTTAGAAAATGTTCTTGGTCTCTCGGTACCCCTAGGAAATACGAAAGAAAAACGGTTTTGGTCACTGTCCCATTGAAGGTATCGTCGAGATACCTTGGCAGACCTTGGCAATAACAATGGCTGATCGACTGACTCGGAAGCGGCGTAACAATACAGAATTATTGTGACAGGATAATTGCTGATTGCTACTCGTGTGTGTGTGTCGTTCGTCCGTTCTCTTTCTTCGGTCGCTAAGTTCGCCGAGCTGTGACTGTGATCAGTCCCGTTGATCGAACGTGTTCAAAAATCGAACCTCGTCGTTCATCCCGTTTCGTGCCGGAAGCATCAGTCGAATCGGAAACGAGCCTGCACAGCCGGAACTGCATCGCGGCTCATCAAGTAATTAACATCGAAACTGGCGTGGATCGTCTCGAGTCAGGTGAAACGTCTACACCGGGTACCGATGACAACATAAATTCTTTAATTAATCGAGAAGGAAAAGACAAACGAGGAGACGAATCCGCGAATCCAAAAAATTCGGACACTTTGGGAACGTCTAGAGCACACATGGATTCTTTTGCCCAAGTTCCTTCTGAGGAATATTAATTGCCTTCTCGAATAAAGACTCTGGGATTTACATGTATATAATAATGATAATAAATAAGTAATAAGAATTTTTATATAAAAATCAATATCAAACAATTGTTAATATTTTTGTTACAGTTAAAAAAAAGATAACTTTTGTCTTAAAATATTTAGTCTACATCTTACTGTCTACGGAGTTATAAAATTGAAAAATAGCTGAATTTTCAGGGGTTTAGTTTAACATCTTGGAACGAATTAAGGCAATTACAAAAATGGCGTAATACATGGACACATGTACTCTAGAAATCCCTAAAGTTTTATTATTTCTCGGATTCGGTGGTTGGAGATTTTCCCTCTAAATCGGGGGGTCGGTAATTTGGCTTTCGTTTACAGGCCAGAGTCTAGGTTTCCACCTGCAGGTGATAAAGGGTTTCGCAAATGACTGACATAAAAAGAATATAACATTATCTCTCTATATATAGTATGTATATGTATATATATATATGCGTATGTATATATATACATATAATCTGGAAATAATAAACTATCGGTTATATTACTTGCGGCTACATCGTATAAACCTTTAATATTACATTATATTACAAAGTGGTATGTGTGTGTGCGCATTGGTTTGCCTGACATTCCTGAAGAGGGACGCGCGCGCGCGCGCGGTTTTCGTGGATGAGATGAACAATCGAATGCTGTAGTACCTGAAGAATGCGGCACAATAAAAAAAAAAGAAGAAAGAAACAGAAAGAGGGGCACAGGATGTTCTTCAGGTGTTTTCATCGAACGAAAAACTGCGTCCGGTCGTGGAACGAGGAATATCGATATCAATTTATTAACTACACGTATGTATGTATGTATAAATAAAGCATATAAAAAAGATGTACCATCGGACGAGCCATTTGGGAATACGAAGAACGGTCGCTGGTATCCAGGAATGCCAATGTTTAGGGGGTTTTGGGGGGGAGAAGATGGTAACCGGTGCATGCCGTTCGCGACAACGCGGATCGCATCGTTTGAAACATGCAGCCATACACATCTATGTTATATTTATATATTTATATTCATATTTATATTCATTCATTTATTTATATATATACCCCGTCGGAACACATCTCTATCTATGATTCTCTTGAGCACGTTGGTGGATTCGGAGGAGACAGTATAAGAAAATACACGTTGCCGTTCGTTACTTCTGGAAATCAATGGTTTATAAAATTCAGACGTGACAACTATCGCGTGGATCCATTCAGAACACGTGTCTCTCTGTGTGTACATGTGTGCGCGTGTGTCGGTGTGTGTTCGTTTCACGTGTATCCAAGTATGGTGTGTGTCTGTATGTGTTTCGAAGCGTATCAAAAGATAAATTCACTTGAAAGTTGAACTGCTCCGGCCCAGAGGTCCGTCGTGTAGGTCCCTGGATCGCGGTGGCGACCGTTCGTGGGACACAGTTAAGCGTGATGCCGGAGGTGTATGGGACGCCGTCACACTCTTCTACAAGTTAACGGGCTCTGTCCCGCGGCTAGCGATCGCCACGTGACAAATAATCGCGAGCAATTGTGATCGAGCAATTTCATTTCGATATCCGCGGCCGGTTCTCGCGGTCTTCGTGGCCGTCAAGGTCACGGTGGACCCACCGTGGGACAACTTGCAAGTGAATCGAGAACGTATAGACTCTCTGCTCTATGTTAGGGCGGCCCTTTTCAGGGGCGGCGTTTATAAATTAATGGACATGTCTTGGTCGTAGGGTGCGAGATTAGTGTCGGACGAAGAAGCCGAGGTAACTGTTGTCGTTGCGGTCGCGCTCGTCGGCGATTGTAAGGGCGTGGACGTGGTCGGCAGGTGGGACGTGGGACTCTCTAAGGTCGAGTTCCAGTGACTTCTCTCTGTACCGTCGCCACCGTCGTCCGAGACGATCGATATGTCCGCGATTATGCCGCTCTCTGCAACGGAATCGGTTCGGCACGTTAGACAAGCCCTCGCACTTTCAGCGGCGGATTTAATTGGCAATTAGTGACTGCTACGTTCATTGTTGCTAAACCAGACCCTATCGGTTTCTCATTTCGCTTTACAATCACTGACATTATCAAGATTCTTCCGTGGGAAATGATTCAATTGATTCGAGCACATGTTGCACAGTCTTCTTAGTTGTTCAAATATTTTTATTGTTTTCAATTCTAGGCACCCATAGTGCTTAGTAGGTTCAGTGTTGGAACACAGTAACAATTTAAAAAAGAAAAAGTGTTTTAAACATTCTCTGTAACATGGTACATTAAAATTCGAGGCTACGGGGATACATAGACTTGTCTCATTTTAGTGATATTGTTAGGTGTCAATGGCTGACATTTACTGTCATAAAGTATTTTCAGCTTGTTGCTGCTTCAACGCATCGACTGCTAAAAGGATTAATAATGTATTCACTAGAATGTGAATTTTTGTATCAAAAAAAGAACCACAAAAATTGTCTGTATCAATTTCAAGGCACACGAGGCTGGACTGACATTTATTTCTTACTTGAACAATTTTAATTAAAAAAAACAATACAACAACATCATAGTAAACGCACAAAATCCGTAGTCTAGTAATCACTGTGATAGAAGTTAACTCTTTAGGCACTATTGTAATCAATACCGTGATTTCAACGATATAGTTCCAAGAAACTACTGTTAAATCCGCCACTGACGATCCTAATTGAAAAGTGCTACGTACCAACGCTGCATTGGCTGTTGAGCGTGGTACTGCGGTGATGGGGTCGGGGACTGGTGTCCAAGCCAAGGTTCAAGGTCGTGGGCGGACCGCTGCTACCACCGCTACTTGAGGACGAGCTGACAGAGATCACGCTGTGCGGCCTTCTGCTGCAGCGACCGGAGTCTTCTGACATCGATACTGCTATCGAGTTTCTAAATCTAGGTGCTGTTTAAAGGTGCATCGATTAGTTTTCGGCTCTCGTAGAACTACGCTCGATAAACCGGTTCGTGAACGGTAGTACTTACTTTTCGAGAGTTGAGCTACACTGATCGAACGGTCATTGATCTGATCCGCGCTAGGCCTAATGTCCAAACAAGGTTTGTTTCCGATGCCCATGCTCGACATCTCCGCCAGGCGCACTTCTACGATCGCAAAAGGCGTTTCGCTCGTTAGAGACCGCGATCGCAAAGAGGAAGAGAGAAAGAGAGAGAGGGGGGGGGGGGGGGGGGGGTAAAG